TTTGCTTGTATATAAATATGTACATTGTATTCAAGTTAGAATAGAAGCACTTCTCACGCATCTCAACCAGCTTCAAATATGATAAGCCATCATTATAATCACGGTTACTAACTTCTTGAATCACATACCCAAGCATGCAATAAGATATCTCCCAAAGCAATACATTGCAAAAGCTTCATAGCAATCTCGCAGTATCTCAGTTTCAACACTCATCGATGGATTCAACAGCGACACAAACTGCACAAGGAAGTTCTAATTATGACATGTATAATGCCTCCCTAAAAGGGTGACAAAACTCTAGCATAGCATTTTGTGTGGAGGCTGATAAACACAAGATACAACACATATTTCAAAGGGCACTACCTTTTTTACATTACCATCTGTATCTCTCTCTCTCCTCCCTATCAAAGATAGGAGTGTCCACCCGAACAGTTTCACTTAACAAACACAGCCTACAGATTTACATATATATATATATATATACATATACATACAGATTTACATACATATATATATATATATATACATATACATACAGATTTATGTTACCTTAGGAGGTGGTCGGCGGCGATGCAGGAGGTGGTCGGCGGCGATGCAGCAGGTGGTCGGCGGCAATGCAGGAGGTGGTCGACGGCTTGTGTTTAGTAACCGGAGAAGGTAGCGGGGGGGTTTCGTCGCAGGAGAGGTTAATTTCGTATTTAGTTTTTGTTCACGACAGCTGTTGTAAGAAGGAAAGGTAGGGTTTTATGATTTTCAGTTCCGGCAGATTACCGGCGGCAAAATCCGTCGAAATTTTTTTGAAATTTTTTGAAATGTGGCGGAGATATTGACGGCGTTGACTGAGTTGCAGCTCAAGATTAAGGATGTGGGGGTCCCACTTGAGTAGGTGAGATGGCAATAAAAGTGCCTCTTTCCAAGTTTCTTTTTTTTAGGAAGTTATATTTTTTTTTTCCTATGATTTTTTTCCTATTATTATTATTATTGTTGTTGTTGTTGTTATTATTATTATTATTATTATTATTATTGTTATTATTATTATCATTAAAACCCAATACGATTCCACTAAAGTCCAATACGGTTCATTAAAGCCCAATACGGTTCATTAAAGCCCAAAACGTTCCACCAAAACCCAATACGTTCCATGAAAGCCCAATACTTCCATTAAAGTCCAATACGATTCATGAAAGCCCAATACGGTTCATTAAAGCCCAATACGATCCATTAAAACCGAATAGGGTTCATTAAAGCCCAATACGGTTCATTAAAGCCCAATACGATCCATTAAAGCCTAATACGGTTTATTAAAGCCCAATACGATCCATTAAAACCCAATACGGTTCATTAAAGCCCAATACGGTTTATTAAAGCCCAATACGATCCATCAAAACCCAATACGGTTCATCAAAGCCCAATACGGTTCATTAAAGCCCAACGGTTCATAAAAGCCCAAGACTTCCATTAAAGCCCAATACGATCCATTAAAGCCCAATACGGTCCATTAATACCCAATAAGGTCCATTAAAGCCCAATACGATCTAATAAAACCCAATACGATCCATTAAATCCCAATACGGTTCATAAAAGCACAATACGGTTCATTAAAGCCCAATACGGTTCATTAAAGCCCAATACGGTTCATTAAAGCCCAATACGATCCATTAAAACACAATACGATCCATTAAAGCCCAAAAGGTTCCACCAAAGCCCAATACGTTCCATTAAAGCCCAATACTTCCATGAAAGCCCAATACGATTCATGAAAGCCCAATACGATTCATCAAAGCCCAATACGGTTTATTAAAGCCCAATACGGTTCATTAAAGCCCAATACGGTAAATTGTTAATTCTTTTTTTTTTAATTATTTAATTTTCCGCCGGAAATGGAAAATTTTTTTAGAAAAATTATTCATTATCCGTCGGAAATCTGCAGGAAAATTGTTAATTCTTTTTTTTTAATTATTTAATTTTCCTCCGGAAATGGTAAAATTTTTTAGAAAAATTATTTAAATATCCGCCGGAAATCAGCTGAAAAATTGTTTATTCTTTTTTTTTTTATTATTTAATATTCCGCCGGAAATGTTAAATTTTTTAAAAAAATTATTTAATTTTCCGTCGGAAATCCGTCGGAAAAATGTTAATTCTTTTTTTAAAGAATTTTTTAATTTTCCGCCGTAAATCCGCCGGAAATGCTAACTTTTTAAAAAAAATTATTTATTTTTCCGCCGGAAAATTGTTTATTCCTTTTTTAGAAAATTTTTTAATTTTCCGCCGGAAATGGTTATATTTTTTTTTTAAATATTTAATTATCCGCCGGAAAATTTTTAATTTTCCGTCGGAAATCCGCCAGAATTGTTAAATTTTTTTAAAAAATTATTTAATTTTCCGCCGGAAATCCGACGGAAAATTGTTTATTCTTTTTTAAGAATTTTTTTTATTTTTCCGCCGGAAATGGTTATATATTTTTTTAAAAATATGTAATTATCCGCCGGAAATCCGTCGGAAAATTGTTAATTTTTTAATAAAAAATTAAAAAATCCACCGAAAATCCGCCGGTAAAATGTTGTAATTAGATGTAAATTCAAAATTAAACTGAGTATTTAAGAAATCCGTCGGAAATCGTTGAAAGTCAATAAAATGTTGACTTTTTAGTGTCCGCCGGAAATCCGCCGGTAATTTACCGGCGGATTTCATCCGCCGGAAATGGTCAGTTTTCTAGTAGTGTAATACCTTCAAAAGTTGGTGATCAGGGTCAGAAAAACATGTAGTTTTCTTTATTATAAGATATGTCCTATTCTTTCACTATGTTCATAATCAGTTACTAACTAGGTTTTGTCGATGGCATTTTGGTTTTTGGTTACTTCTTGGTTGTTGATGAATCAAGTATAACTCTAAGTGTTTGTTAATTAGTTAATTATGTTTATGTATTGCTTTGTATAGTTTTTGAACTTGTACAATCGAGATGGAGTTGAAACTGTTGGATTGGACGAAGCTGTGGCGAGATTAGGTAGTTTGGTGTTTTTGATGTTTTAAGAATTGTGTAGATTGAGATTTGTATTTTCAATCTTTTGGTTTTCGAGTCAATTTTGATGATATTACGATTGATGATAAGTTATTGGATTTCAGACGTGGAGAGACGAAGGATTTATGATAATTTTGATGATAACTTTTTTAAAAACTGTCCCTTCAAAGTGTTTATTTTTATGCCACGGTTGATAAAACAGTGTTTCAAAGAATTAGTTGTATATCATGTTGTATTCAATTAGATCAAACGTGAAGCTTTAAGAGATTGCTCGTATACAAGATATTTCTATTTGATGCATTTAGTAGCATCATGGGTATCACTACAAGCACATAGTTCAATACACCCCTCTCAAATCATCAATACAAGTTGCTCAAAGATGGCAATGTATATGCTTTGGGTAAATCCTCTGGGCACGTTCTGTATTTTCTTGAACTTATAATGTACGTCACTCTACTTTTTTATAGAGTCCATAACGGGTTCAAATTTTTCCTTCTAGCTGAGCTAACATTTATTGGTAATAATTGTTTGCATTGTAACACATATAGCTTGTGATGTTCCCTAACTTAATGAACCAAAATCATATTTATGAACTCATATTTGTAATAATAACAAATATACATCATTTTGATATAACAAACCTCATTTATTGCATCCAAATATCCAATAACTTGATAAACACATTGTGAGTAAACCTTGTTGCGTCATAAAGAAGATTATATAAATTTCTCGCATCGCATGGATGAGACAAACTTATTTTCTCCAACACAACTGCTGCGAGAACATCAACTCATCGCATCACACTAGTGTGACAAACCCAACTTCTCACATCATATGAGTGCGATAAGTCTTGTCGCATCAAAAGGATGCGACAAAACACACTCCTCGCATCATATAGGTGTGATATCCACACTCCATCACATCAATAGGATACGATAAACTCTAAGTTATCGCATCACATAGATGCGACAACTCCAAGTTATCGCATCATAAGAATGCGATAGAAATGAACACTTTGATCAAAACCCAGATTTTATAACTCGACGATTATGCCACCATTATCTTAGTATACATCTCTCCTTGATATGTCACCCTCATCCCAGTATACACATCTTGATATGTCACTTTTATAACCAAAATACATATCTCATTGATATGTCACCTTATTTCAACACATTTCATTGGCAAATCCTTCAAGAAATGGTTATTTTCTTAATGGAGATGGTATAAAATGGCTATTTAGGTGAATTTCCTTTATGCTAATTATATCATTCAAAACTCAAAACAATTTTATACCAACCCATATAAAGAACCATATGGTTCAAATTCATATTTCCAAATAAGGACAGTTGTAAAATAAACTCACCTTATGAATCACGTAGCTGATATGAAGATGAAATGACAACAATTATCCAGATAAAGGTTCACAGAAAACAGCTTCTACTTTTGCTTCCAATTCAAGATCACACAGAAGACCTTTATTTCTTCTTTCCTTGTTACTTGTTTTTTTTACCAACTTCCCAAGAGATGACACAAATATCTCTGTCAAACCCATATAAACAATTAAGGTCGTGGAAGTGTTTTAAAAGATTTAAGCATATAACCAAATCAACCTCCCTTAACTTACCACCAATAGTCATAAACAACCCCGAACTTTATAACCGAAAAACCCGGTTATCACAACAATCACCGACGATTTTGCCGAGGGATCACCGATGGCCCAAAAAAATAATTAAAAGAATAAAAGTTGAACCATCGGTAGAAATTCTTACATCTTGCAAATTACACGAGTAGAGTTACTAGTAATTAATAAATCAATAATTTAAATATTTAACTTAATATTAAAAATAAACCAAAGAGAATTATAAATAAACAAACATTATTCACTGTTCCTATGCAAAAATAAAATTAAAAAAATGTACGGCAACAAAAACCAAAAGCAAAAAATTATTACATGTAAAAAAACAAACCATTAATTATTATAATATCAATATTCCCGGTTTAATTAATTAAAGACAAACGGTTTAAATGTACCCACCACCTTTTTCACGGTTTTCCCCATCTTCTGAACCCGGTCCATCACCGTTGTGTAAGACACCGTCCCATCATTTCCGGCGAGAACTCTGTACTTATCTTTCCTTGTAAAATTTGTGCATTCAAACCCTAGTGTGGCTGCCAAGATTCTTTGAACGTAATTCGCGACGTCGTGTGGGCTTTTCCCCGACGAACATGTAGCCTCCGCCGGCAACTGGTTCAAGAAAGTAACCTCATAAACCGGTCTAGGGTTCATGAAGAAGAATATCGGATCTAACCCTTTCCATCCCCTTGCCGTCGTTGCATGGAAAAACCCCACCCGGTAGTTCATTGCCACCGGCACGATCCTGTCTGTTAGTTCGGCGAAAAGTGCACTGAACCGGAGCAAAAACGGTTCTCTGCAGGTTGTACCTTCTGGGCAAACGACCAGATCACCTTGAGATAATTCTTTCTTTATTCTCTCCGCGTCGACGTGGCGAATCCGGGTCAAACGAACGGTGGGTATTGGAGATAGGATCTCCGATAATCTTGATATGGAGTAGGTGACGGCGGGGATACTCCGCTGGAGGACGGTGGATAACACAACTGGGTCCATTAAAGTCCGATGGGTGCAGACGAATAGGACACCGGCGTTGGACCCCGACGGTGGTGGTGGCGGGACTCCCTTAACCACGACTTTGCCACCGAATATGCTGGCCATATAAGGAATAGCCCACATCGGCAACAAAACGCCAATGGTCATACGGATGATTGCTAGGATGACACCGAGTGGGATCCAGAGGAGGATGAGAAGGGCGGTGGAAGGAGTCGGCCGTTTGACGAGTCTGCCGTCATGAAAGATCACCGGCATCGGCCGCATATCTTGCTTCTGGTCTTTGATCATGTATGATGCGTTTACTTGTTCCTGCAAGGAAATAAATCCCATGAGTTGCAAGTTAATTTGCAACCTCTTTCATGCATAAATGTTAATTTCTATTTTTCTTATAAACATTATAATAATTTCTTTTATGCGATTGTTATTTTAAAAATTGTTTTATAAAAACAAGTGTTATATAAAATTTTATATATATATATATATATATATATATTTAAGGGACAAATCTAGCAAAATTATAAAGAAAAACTAATATAATATTTTAATATTCATGCATGGATGCATGCAACAAGAGACCATATTGCTTACCTTGCATAAAGACAAGAATGAAGAACCAGAATGGCATCTTCCGAGCCCTAGGCTTGGTTGCTGACCATCAAAGATGGCTGCAACCCGATCACAAACCGATGACCCAAACCCACCATCCTGAACCAAACCTGTGGCAAATCCAAACCGGCTCACCACAAGTTCGGTCCCAATAACCTCATCAGCACGCAAATGCTCCTTCACGAACCGCTCAACCATCAACCTAGGCATTTGGGTCACAACCACTCTTCGATCACCCAAATTAAACACCCTCCAAGCCTCCAAATCAATATCATCGAAGTAAAACTTGGGCAAAACTGCCCTTGCAACCGATTCGATCTCTGACATGGGAACTCCTGCGGTGGCAAGAAAAATGGCCAACTTCAACCCGACTTCCGGCTTCCTACACCAATCGAGTAGCTTGATAATCGGCCAGAATAGCAACAACAATGTGAACCGGATTAAGCCAGAGGCTTCGAAGGCTACTAGCATGAAATAGGAGAAAGGATCTTGGTTCTTCAAAAGGGTTCCTTCGAGTTCTGAGACCACAGACTCCATGATCGTTTTCTTTGTGTTTTGGAGTTAATTTTTTGATGGAAATGTAGTGTTTGGATGAAGATGAAGGTGAAGATGAAGATGAATTGAACAGTTGGTGTTGGCTTTATGGATGGAGGTTGAAGGTTGCTTGACTATTGTGTGTGGGAAGAATAAGGCCGTTTATCGGCTTATACCTACCTATAATAGGAGCAAATGGGCAATATCTTACATATGAATTTTCCAATCTTAAATTATATATTTTTATTAATATTTCTTGTATTTATGTATACCTGATAAAATTTAAAAAGCCTGTAGTCAATACTCTTGTGAATATGTGGGTTACTTAACCCCAACAACTTTATTTTGATGAAAGATAATATTTGGTCATGCTCATAAAATATAAAATAAATAAAAAGGAGCCATTTTAAACATTAAAATTATTTAATTATCATTACAAATTCATTTGGGTATTTCTTTGTTTTATTTATTTTTTATCATCAAAATTAATGTAACCAAACATTTTACTTATAATATATGTTAATTCATCAATCATATGTTTTAAAATTAGAATTATAGATTTGTGAGCAGAGAAAAGTATTATAAACAACGTACGTATGGAGCTGATTTTTCAATAATATTTGATGAAAATAAATATTAATGTATACTATATTATAAAGTATTTGATAAAAACTCTTAAAAACCATTTTTTATGCATGAAGTACTGCTTATTCATATATAAATTTTAAAAATTCAAGATTACAAGTAATTATACATAAATACAACTTATTAATGTTTTATGTTTGAATTCGTGTAACTAATTGCAAATAAGAATAATTAAATATATGATAAATATCTCATTTTAAATATAAAAATTTAATATATAATTAAAATAATCATTGAGTTCCAACAAAATATTTGATTATTATCTTCATAAAAAATTATATTATTAAACCAAAAAAAATGAATTACAGAAAAACACAAAAAAGGAGAAATTTTAAATAGTTATTTTCGTACTAATATCAACATTTTTTTTTCAATTTTCAATTTATATTTTATTCAAAAATAAACATTATTGTTTTCTCAAAACCGTATTATAACATCAACTGAGGAAAAAAAACGATAAATTAAAATCGAGATGTATCTTGCTGTATTGTACAAATATCTTTCTAGTAATTACTAAAACGACGTGTATATACATGTTCAAAACAATCTTTGAAATGTTTTCTGTCCAAGAAAATGTAGGTTACTTACCAAGAAATAATATATAAGAGCCACAAAGTTAGTATAAGAAATATTCAAATTAAATATATGATTTGAGGTAACCTCCACGTTTGTGTATCACATTTTCTTTGCCACAAATCTCCTACTCTTGATATTGTGGTGTATATATGGCAAGTTACGTACACTATATATACATCCATTTATATATATATATAGAGAGTGTGTGTGTGAGTTTGTTCCAAATACAACTTATCACATTTGTACAGCCAATACAACTCAATAAATTGAAATATTTAAAGAAATGATGAGAATTCATTTATTATGATTTAAATATTTATGGAAGATGAATAAGGTTCATTAATTATGATCAACACTTTATTTTATGAAACAATCAAAACTTCTATGAAATTACATATTAATCAAATTAAATGGACGGTGGAGATTTGGGTTGTATTGGTTGTACAAATGTAAAGGGTTGTGTAATAATCCATCTATATATATATATATATATATATATATAGAGAGAGAGAGAGAGAGAGAGAAAGAATCCATGTACAAAACATGTACTTACAAAATAATTTCCTCGCAACAGAACATCGTAAATGTGAGCCTCATTGTATTAGATGATATATATTGGTATTATACAAATACTAAAAAAGTATCATTGATTGATATTTATGTAACGTTTTTATTGTGATTTTACTGAACCAATAATCTACTAAGGATATTTTCATGGCTTTAAATTAATTAGAGAGAATAATATAGTTACATGTATGTAATTGAATAGAATATATGGGACGAAACACAATATGGTTTGATAATCTTCAAATCAATTTAAAGCCATGCTGAAAAGTATTGGTAACCTAAAACATTGAGCTTATAAAGCAGGTAGGATGGAGTGTTACAAACTCCTCCACTTCAATTTTTTCAAGCCATCGTGGCATCCGCCTCCTTCGTTGGCATTGTAAGGTACACTTTAATTAGATGTTACAAAGATCCTCCCAAGGACTAATCATGCTTGATAAGGTTTGTCTGATCATCTCATACAAGGATCAGTTCTGATACCATTTGTAACTCTCCAATAGTCAATATAGTAGTTTGACCCGATATGATTCAATCAACTTACAGCTATGGTGAAATTAGATGTAACTCGTACTTTTGAATTTATAAAAAACTAAAGAATCTATTATTTTTAATCCATATTGAGTCGGGTTGTTAGATGTATGGATAAATAAATTATTTGGAAAGTGTGATGAATAAATCTAAATAAAAGGGTTTAAATGAAAAGGTGTATTACATTTTGGTAGCTTAATAATGTGTAAATGTTATAATGTTATTTATTCATATGAATAGTATTATGTTACAAGTCATAAGGTAATAGCGTGTGGTATCATACGATCGATGTTTGACCATCTGAAACTTGTCATCATGTTTAAAACAGGTAGGAAATTACAAACTTGTGTAAATGTAGGTGAGAAAAATTGCAATCTAATATATATATATATTGGGTTGGGTTCACGTGAGACCAAAAGTTTTTTGTGAAACCCGTAAGACCAATTTATGTTTATTGATCAACTTTATAAGCTAATGATCTAATGGTCTAAAAGTTGCATGGTAACAATTTTGTGATTATTGGGAAGTCTCGTGGCAATTTTGTGATTATGAATGTTCAGATTGTAGATCTAATCCAAAGGTTCGTACAGATCTCATGAAAAATCTTTGGTCTCACATGATCTCAAGTCTATATATGGATCATCAAATGCAACTCTTTTAAATGTTGCAACTAATGCAACTTCACCTATACCACACGATTAAACAATCAACGTGGAGATAAAGTCGTTACATTTTTAAAAAATTGAAAAATGAAAATACTCCTTAAATAGGAGATGATCTATAGTTAGGATTAAATTTTCATTGTGTTACATTAGGTTGCACTTGATTTACATTATATATACATATATAGAGGCATAATCAAATGAGAACTGTTTTGTTTGTGGTAACCGTGAGATCCAATCTCAATCACAAGTCAAAGGTTAAATTATAAAATAATATTATTTTGGTAATTTTAACTTAAAATATTAATTAAGGGCTTTTATAAATATTCTTTCTCATCTCTCGTCTTTCCTCTCTCCGACGAACCTTATTTCGATTAACCTTATGTAAATACAAGATGCACAATATGATACCTTTAAAAAGCAATGAAAATAATGAAAATGCACACTATGATACATTTCATAAAACAAAGAAAATATATTGTGATACACGTGAAACATTGTGAATGTTATTACTGTGATTCACAAACGTATTTAAAATACGATTTATATTAGGTAATTGATATACTAGGTAACTAATTTTAATTAAATATTTTCTTCTAAAAATTTTATTAAATATTTATATTAGTTGTCAAAAATAAAATTAATATATTACCTTTTTAGCTTATTTAAAAATATCCTTAAATATCTCAAACGAGTGGTTTACATTGGATCTTACTGTTACCACAAACTAATCAGTTCTCCCTTGAATAGGCCCCTACATATAGGGCTGTAAACGAACCGAACGTTCAGCGAACCGTTCATGAACCGTTTGGCGGGAAGTTCATCTATGTTCGTTTTAAACGAACGAACATGAACAAGAGTTTCGTTCGTTCATATATGTTCGTACACGTTCATTCATTTACCGTTCGTTTACGTTCATTTATATTCGTTCGTTTATGTTCGTTTATATACTAAATTTAATATATAATCTTTTATTTATTTATTTTGAATTCAAATAATATTTATTTATGTTCGTTTAGCCCGTTCGTTTACGTTCGTTAGCATGTTAACGAACGAACACGAACACACCTGATTTCTAAACGAACGAACACGGACACAAAGATTTTCGTTCGTTTATTGTTCATGTTTATTCGTTTGTTCAGTTAAGTTAAACGAATGAACATGAACAAGCCTCTGTTCGTGTTCGTTCGGTTCATTTGCAGCCCTACCTACATATATATATACATACATATATATAGGGTTGGGTTCACGTGAGACCAAGGGTTTCTCGTGAGACCCGTAAGACCAATTTATATTCATTGATCAACTTTATAAGCTAATGATCAAATTAAAGTTGCACGGTGACAATCTTGTGATTATTGAGAAGTCTCGTGGCATTTATGAATGTTCAGATTGTCAGATTATAGATCTAATCCAAGGGTTGAGAATTGGTCTTACGGGTCTCATGAAAAACTCTTGGTCTCACATGAGCCCAAGTCTATATACATACATACATACATATATATATATATATATATATATATATATATATATATAGGGTTGGGTTCACATGAGACCCTTGAGACCACATTTTTATACTTGAAACTTCATAGCAAAAACACTGTGAAGGTTTAAAAAAGTCGAACATTCACAGCAAAAACACTGTGAAGATTTAAAAAAGTCGAACATTCACAGCAAAAACACTGTGAAGGTTACCTTCACAGCATTTTGCTGTGAAGTTTCAAGTGTAAAAAGATGGTGTCACGGGTCTCACGAAAACATGCTGGTCTCACGTGATCCCAAGTATATATATATATATATATATATATATATATATATATATATATATATATATATAAAGAAAGAAAGAGGGGATGCATAAACACACCTTTACACACACATGTATTTTGAATTTGTAAACAAACAATCTGTTATTTGATATAAAACATTTGTTAAATAAAATTGTACATATGATAATTAATCAATGTTACTTATAACAATCTGATATGTTTGCTATCATAAAGCAATTATAGTAATTTACATATA